GAAAGACCAGACATAAAATGTAAAATTTTGTAACACTGTTCAAGATAGGTTTAGATGGAGAATAAATTCAAGATTAGCTACTAATCTAAGTTTTAATGATTAGGGCCAGAAAAAGGAAATTACAGTAAAAATAAAGAGCAAATAGGCATGTTAAAGAATAGTTAATAAGACATAAATGTTTACATGTGGACAACAGACAAGGGGAGAAAAAAAGGATAACATTTTCAAGCAGGAAACTGAGAAAATGATACTACCATTGGCAAAAGTGCAGAAACTGAAAAAGGAAAATTTCCTACTGCTGGATTACTACTAAACAGATATAGCTATAGTCACTGAAAATTTCAAAAACTCTGGATGCCATTTCATTAATCACTTACTTCATGGATAATTCATACTCTGAGACTGTTATCTTCATATGAGCAATAGCTTTTTCCTACAAAAATTATAAAAATACATAAGTTTCTATACCATTCATAGAAACGTCTTTAGCTAAATTTATATAATTTATCATATTTATGTAGTTCAAATATATGGTTCAATCATATAAATTATGCCATAAAAGAAAACTTCAAGTAAACATTTTTGAGTACCAATTATAATTCACATATTGGCACTTTTCTACCCTAAGAACTTGAATGGTTTCCTTGAGTTTGCTTTAATGAGGTCTAATAAAATCACATTTTAGAAATAGATAAAAATCACATTTTGAAGATTCAGATTATTGAGATAAAATGAAACTGAAACATATCAGAAGTCATGCCTTGGGTCTTGGGAACTTGTACATGGGTGACTAGAACAGCATATTTGAAACAGATAATAAAATAATCTTTTCTGTTCAGATCCTGGAAAATGATATTTAACAGCCACATACTTTATTAGCGATGTTTTCTTGTAAGTTTGCAATCTTTTCTGTCTTCTCATCAACAGTTTCCTGAAGAACATCTTTTTCTTTATCAATAACACCAATAGTTTTTTTCATTACATGAGCCTCCTGATCCTGTGAAGTCATCTTTAGGTTTAGTTTATCTATAAATGAAAAGAAATGTTTGTTAGACAAGGTAAATTAGGATTAGCAAAAACAAAATTTAAAAACATTTACCTATAGTTTCTTCCAGTATCTTAATTTGTGCCAGGGCTGATTCAAGTTCACCTCTTTTTATGGAAAGTCGGTGCTGACAGTCATCAAGTGACCGCTGTAGCTGCTCATTTACTATCCTAAAAAATCATGGACAGAAACAAATGGTATTCTTTATCTCTCACAGAAATAATTTTTTAAAATGAGACGTCTTAAAAAATATTTTGATTTCTTATTTTTAAAGTTTCTTTTATTTTTTATTTTAAAGCTCTTCCAGTATAATCAATGGCATTATATATTATTTCTTTTTGTCCACCATTCTTCTCCAAAATGGTTCCATCTTCCTAAAAATAATATAGTATAAAAATCATTAATCGTGTATTCTTTTCTAGGGGCTTCTTGGTAGTTTTAAAGCTCTTCTCAATTTCCTACTATCAACCCCCATTCCCTTAAAATCTATTTCCAATAGTGGAGGCAAAAGGAAAGGCCTGTATGGCCTGGCACTTCAAAGGACTATTTGTAAATCCTGAACATCCTGACCAGTGAGCTTTTAATTTTGCTTCTTATTCTGACTTTTTGGGTGAGTAGTCAACTGGAGGTCATAGTAAGCAGGGCAAGTAGGCATCTCTTGTAATGCAGTGGGGATTTAAGACTGAAGACTGGCTTGAGGGAGTAGAAGGAAGGATGCACAGAGGCCTAGGAGGTCAACAACAAAGACAATTTCAGAAAAATCTGTTACTGACTGGTCAGATTACTCTTCAGAAGTAATGTTCCTGGAAGCTCTATGAGGAAGAATTTGCTCTCAAGTCATCTAGAGTCTTCAGAATGCTTTTAGCCCTGACCTGGGAGTTCTTAACCCTGCCTAGTCGGAAAGACATGACTCTCACCTCCGGCTATAGTTCCTTTTAGATTTCCTTTGAGGATAAGACAAAGAAGAAGATACTATGATAGCTAGCTTAGAAATGTCTAATGAGAAGGAGGTTTGGGTTCTGAAACCACTAGGTAAGATGGGACATCTATATAGAAATGAAGAAGTTTTACTGGTAATACTAAAGTTATTTGGGAGAAGAGAAAAAAAAAAAAAACACTACCTTGACTGTTCTAACAGCAAGTGAATGATGGCCAAGAGGTATGGAGGAGAGTCAAGCTGGAACTCACTTCTCTAGGAATGCATAACCAAAACAAACCAAGTCAGAAAGATACCAGGTTCAAGCAATTTTACTTCATAAAATTATTTGTGAAGTCCAGGTGACTGCACTGTATACAAGCTGTTCCTAAAAGCTAGAGCTATCATTCTGTGGGATATAACACCAGAGAGTGACACTTTGTACACATTAGTTCACTTATTCCTAGAACATTCCCATAATTAAGACTATTATCCCAATTTTACAGAAACAAATGACTAATAACTTGTCCAAGGTTACAAAGCTATTAAAGGTAAGGAAATGATGCAAATCCAAGCTAGTCTAACCCAATATCAATGTTCTTTTATACATAATATTGCCTTCTACGTAGAATACAGGGAGACCAACATTCTCTATGTGGAAGAGGAAAATATCTGCCAGGAAAATATATGGAGTCCTTTCAAAACAGAATGGCCCAGAGTCCCTAATGAAGGACACCAAGGGGTTGGCAGTTGTTGAAATTCTAGGTAGCTCTTTACATCTTACTTTATAAACTGAATAATTTCCTAATGAAAGTGGGATTGATAAAGGAAGGCAGGATAACAACTTGATTGATAAATGATCACGCATCACTTAACAGGGATATGTTCTGAGAAATGCATGCGTAGGAGATTCCATCATTGTGTGAACATCATAGAGTGTACTTACACAAACCTAGATGGTACAGCCCACTACACACCTAGGCTATGTGGCATAGCCATTATAATCTTATATATGCCATCAGTCATTGACCAAAATGTCATTAAGTGGTATATGACTGTACCTATAAAAGATGCTCTTGGGCAAGTCCTAAAAATAGCTTTGCCTTTTTATATTCTAGTGTGGAAAGGGAAAATCGACAACAGAGATCTTATATGAGATCTTACTTTTCTGATGGAAGTATTACTACTAAGATGAAGGTCTTAATGAAAGAATTGTGGTGTAAAGCTCATAGGGAAGAACGGGTGCGTGACTGCCCTATTATTTGTTCACAACAGCATTTGGAAAATAATTTTGAGAACTAAGTTTTTGGAAAAATGAACCAGTTTCTTAGATAAGAAAGTGCTATAAACATAGCAAAGGGAAGTGATGACATCCAACCAGAGTAAAGCAATATAACTGAACATAGAGCAAGTTCTGGCTCTCCACTTAGACATGTGACTGGGTGGGACCATCTCTCTGAGCCTCATATTCCTTAGTTATATTTTATTACATGGAGCTATGCAAGCTCTCATATTAGTGGACAAAAATAATTATTTCCCTTCATGAGGGAGTATATTTTGAACAAAGACAACATCTTAAAGAGTCCTTTATTTATAAGAAGTGTTCAAGTTCTAAAATGGAGCTGAAGCTCCATCTAAGAAAGGTAGGTTTGGAATTTTAATAGCCTATTAGAAGAAAGAAAGACTGACGTGGTATCTCTGTCTTATTTCAGATTTCTCCCAAGAGTCTATGGTTATGGCCCACCATTAATTGAGAAAGGCCACTAATAAGTACCACCTCTTGGTGAGCCAAATAGGGAAAGAAATTAGAATTGCTTTTTTTTTTAGGTGTCTGCAAGGGAATGATGATTTGTAACTTGTGGCCCTAGTTCCCTTGGCCCTTTCAATTCCCTTGGCCCTCCATGAGTTCAGCTATTCTTACTCAGGGCCCTGGCTCCTCTCCTGTCTTGACAGAAAAAAATATTAGAAATGATCAGAAGAGAATTTTTAGGCATCCCAAGTAATCTATGAGCCTTCTTTCCCTTGTCTAAGATGATTCTCAATTCCCTTAACAAATAAGAATTTCAAGAGAAACTAGTTACATTTGGTTTGCTGAAAACATTTAAGCAAATCCTTATAAAACAACTGATATCTATTGGCATAATCATAACTCTAAATAGAGTTTATGAGTCATTTCCAGGAAAGTCTGCTAAAGCATTTATTTGATCCTGGATTGGTTTATAAACCTTCTCCTTCTGACCAACATATACAGATAAAGACTACGGTGAATTGAAAACAGTCTAACAGTATTTTCAGCTGCAGGAATCCCAATGTTTTAGAGCCTCATAGCTATCAGTTGTGAGGATTAAGGATGTTTACAATGGGGTTAATTGGGAAAAGTTAGTTATCTAACTGGGCTGGAAACAACTTATCCTTGAGCAGTAAGGGGTTGTTGACGAACTACAACCTGCTGCCTATTTTTGTAAGATCTGAGAGCTACAAGTGGTTTTGACGTGTTTAAATGACTGAAAAAATTTTTCAACAGAAAACTATTATTTTGTGACTTATGAAAATCATATGAAATCCAAATTTCAGTGTCATAAGTAAAGTCGTACTGGAAAACAACTACACCCCTTCATTTATATATTGTCCACAACTACTTCTGCACTACAAAGGCAGTGTTAAGTACGTGTGACAGAAACCGCATGGCCTGCACAGTCTAAAATATTGACACTTTATTTACAGAAAAAGTTTGTGGTCCCCAGCTCTGGAGACTGGCTAGCATGTTCTGAGGGGCTAAAAGACCATCTTTCCTGGGCAGAAAGTTGTTCTCTTATAGCATATGGAGTTTGGATTTGGGGTATAAAATGCCAGCTCTCGTTAAATGCTGCAATTTAAGGAAGATGACAGTCATTAATTTGATTTTAAAAAGTAGTTAAAAAGTGGGATTTTATATTATGTCCTTGATGCTATACCAAGAGACTAGACCAAATACCCTCTACTAGGGCAGTTAGTGACTGTGCTTGATAAAGAAAAGCTTGTTTGGTGGTACTGAAATTTGGTGTAAAAAATGCTTGATGCAGGAAGGGAAAGAGAAGATAGGTCCATCAGGTGGATGGAAAGGAACATATCCCTCATCTACCTAAGTATCAGCTTCTTAAATGTCTTCCTGTCAAGTCAGAGAACTTGATGTGATTAAACAAGTAGCAAGAGCTCTATTAACCATACTGAAAGTGGCACGAGGTTTGGATAACGTGACTTTGCTTTCATATGAAGAATGCTGGATATTACAGTTTGTTTGGGTTTAGTTCTGGATTTGGACCCAACAGCTTGCACTCATGGTTCTACCAACATTTACTGATATGCAGACGTGACTAATACACTTTCCTGAGAGACAAGATAAGTCATGTTTTTCTGTCAGAGCAAAACAAAATTATAAAATAATGCAATATCCCCAGTTTATGCAAAGTAGAGAGAAAAAAAATCTCACAATTTCCTCCTATAGCATAGTGAATGAATTACTCCTAGGTGAGGGAAGAGGCAGACTGAGCTCATAATAGAAAAGGATATCAGGATAAGAAAAAAAAAAAAAAAAACTCCAAAGGACTTGTAGGCTAGGCTATCCAAGAAGGGATACTGAAAGTTCTGCCTTCCAAGACTAGAAAGGGCCTCCTATAAGGAAAGGTAAGAGGTGCTATAGCTATAATCTGAAGGAAAAGCAAAATGGATTAAAATGCCAGATCCAGTCAGCTAGATACAAAAGTGAAAAGTCAGCTAGATACTAGCTAGACTAGTAATTCTGGGTGAAAAAAATATACCACAGTATCTGTACTTTTAGAGCTGAATATATAAATAAAAAAAAACAGAAAAAGAGGGGCTGATCCATTCAGCTCTCCTTCCTGAGGTATATGTAGTGCCTGCATAAAAACAAAAAAAAAAAAGAAAAAAGAAAAAGAAAAAAGCAGCATCTACCTTAGTTTTTTCTAAAGTCTAACTTATCAAGACAGTAGTCAGAACAGCAAAAGAACAAAACTGCAGATGGCCTACATGAATCACTAATACAGTATTTCTTAATTAACCAGACACACCGAGTTCTTATTTCATTAAGTTATTTGGTAATCAGGGAGCCCTTATGAACTATAATTTCAGGC